TTTGTACTAAAAATGGAACTGTTTAAATGGGGGAAGTTTAGGTTTTTTTCTACTCAGGTTCAAGATGCAGTTTTAAAAATTATAAAGAAAAGGAGGAGTTAATATTCCTCAGGCTATTTAATTTAATTATAAAAAATACTGTTTTTTGTCCCTTGAGTGGACTAATATTAAGTTGTGTTAATGTACCCTATGTTTGTATAGTTCTATTAAGAAATTGTTTTTGGATTTTTGCTAAAGTTTTTAAAGTGTTAAAGGTTCTATTAAGAGTTTGTTTTTGGATGTAAGTTTGAGAGAATTGTAATTATGTACAGTAATATTTATATTAGAATTATGTTAATCTGTTAATGTTTGGTGAAGCTAAGGGAGTCTTGAAGTTTGATGCAGTTGCATCCGGAGCTTTTTGATTTATTTGATGTGGTTTTTTATTTAAAAAAGGGCTTTATACATCTAAGACTGCTGTAGTCATCTTAGACCCATTCCAAAAATGACATCCCATCATCCTCTACTCCTTCACTGGGAGGCATGGCAGTTATGGGGATTGCTGTGGTTGTTAACAGTTACTTGCAAGCTCTTAAAATATTAAGAAGAGGGACCTGTGAGAGCCCACAGAGGTTTCCTAGTAAGATCTGGGCTTGCTTCACCCAGCAGGACTGCATAAGAGGATGATTGGACCATGGGCCTGGGTACCAGGTGTTGCGAAAGGTCTACACTTGGCTGTATCTAGCACGGAGAGGTCTTTTGACTCACCCCTTGGCATTGTTATAAAAAGCCCCTTTGAATAAAGTTCTGGGCCATTGGGTATTGACCAAGGTCCTCCCGAAGCTATCTTGTGTTTCTGTCTTTCCTCTCGTTGGCTAGGCCTATTATTTTATCTACAAATTCCTTATTCCTTTCCTCTGTCCTCTTCATAGGAACCCTGAAAAAGGTAGGGGCTGGTCCCTCACAGGTCATGAACTTGAGAAGGAGTGGGGGAGACAGAAGGAGTTGGAAGTGGAGAGGGTGGGGTGGAGATGATGTAAACATAGTATGTGCATATGAAAATCTCAAAAAAAACCACCCTAAAAAACAACAACAAAACACCTCATGCATGTACATCCTAAAGTTAATACTTGTGAATCAGTGAGCTAGACAATATGTGCATATGGTATAAGGGTTTGTTCCCTTCATGTATTTGGTGCATCTAAAACTGGCCTCAAGGATCTGGAAAGATTGAGTTTACAAAATAAAGATCAAAAAAAGTAGTTTTATGATTAAATAACATGTTAGGTAACTGGGTAATTTGTGTGCAAACCTGAATTTCCCCCCAAAGACTTGCTGAACAAACTGCCTAGGGCACATTTTCATTTCTACTTTCTCAAGGTTTTCCATGATCAAGAAGCCTGCAGAACACTTTCCCCTCCTCCTTAGTTAGAATCTTGGCAACTGCACTAGTCAGTTTCCCATACCTGCCTGTTAGTTATATGCCCAGTACAGAGCAGCTCTGGCTTGTACTATGAAAAGTGTCTCAGTCAAGGCCAAGTTCATGACCTGCTATTAGTCCTTTCCTGTGTCTTCTCCACTAACTGTGATCCTCTTTGCCCAAGAACATGCTGGGACCCTGAGTCAGTAACTAGATCAGAGCATTTCCCCCTTGGCAATGCAGTCAGGGCACAGGCTACTTGAAAAGGGACTGTGGCTGTGATTTTCCATCAGGGAGAAAGCAGCACAGAAGGTTCTTATGTACCTACTGGACTCAACCTGATCTTCAGTGTCAGCACCACAGACACTGAAACCTGCATCTAGGGCTGATACTCATGAGATGGGGGAATCTGAATAGATCAAGACCAGAAAACAGAACCAAACACTAATTTATAATAGAGGAATTCAAACTTGAATAAGCAGCCACTATTTAACACAATCACTGAAGATGACCTGGAAGCTATACAATGCCTAAAAACCCTCGGGAGCTCTCTGTAGGCCAGAAGTGTCTGCTCCTGAAGCCATCCTCACTCTCTCTGGCTACCTCCTCTAACTCTTTTTTTGCTACATAAAAGGCGATTATTGAGAGGGAATACAACACCTCAAGATTCTAGTAGAGTATCATGGAGTATTACATGGCTGTACGAAGGAAGGCAAGAACCATTATCAGATGCGTTCAAATCCTGTCTCTACACTCTTTGTAATGCTGGTCACATTCGTTAAGCTCTTTGAGCCTCAGGTTATAACAGTGACAAGAATTACTGTAAAGATTTACAGTATATAAAGTGATGTCATGTGTTTACATTTGACAGGCTCTCACAGCCAGGTGTAAATGCAGAACTGGACATTTCCTACAGATCTTTATGGGAACCATGCCCCGATGGACAGTGCACTGTGTCTGTGCACACCCTTATGGAGTGAGGCCATCGGTGTGGACCCACTCTGGTGTATTCTGTTGGAGGGTTTTCTTTTGGAAGAAAGAGGCATGCAAGGTCTTCAGGCATCTTTTCCCTCTCCAGTTTCAAGGGTTTTGGTTTTCACCTTTCTGTCAATTTTACAGACTACTGTTCATTACAGGAAGGTTGGTTAGAAAGAAAACTGCAAACCCTTAGGGCACCAGATAGTCTCTTTCTGGATAATGTGGAAACTGAATCACTTTGCTCTGCTTTGCTATAATTTTAACACAAACGAAAAACATTTGAGACAGAGGGTTCTTGAAACTTGAGTTTACATGTATTAGTCTATGTGCTAGGTAATGTTGAAAAGTAAGGGGAACAGCGACAGAGGCACCTGAAGACACAACAGCTGGACCAAATGGGGCATGTGGGTGCGGGTGTGCTGCTCTCAGACAGACTTTAAGTGAGCAAAGGATTACTAATCCTGCTTCTGAGTTTTAGTTCCAGATGATTATTTTAATACAGCGCTAATGGCAGAATTCTGGATACAAGTTAATTGCATTTTCAACTCATAATAAATTGGAAAAACTTAAATTGACTTGTAATTATTCTTCATCACTTTAGCATTCAAAAATGGTTATGGGTAACTTCATCTACGTCACCATGAAAAGATGGCTGTCCATCCCAAACATAGCATCAGGGGGACCTTTAATGAGAAGACTTACAATCTTGGTGTCATATACTTCTCAGACCCAAAATGGGTTCCCAAATGTGGCCAGATAGGAACTAGCAGGAACTAGTAGACCTCTCAAATGTAACAGTTAGTGCCCCCCCACCCCCACACACTGTAAACTTATGCTTCTTGGGAGTCACCACGTCCTTGGTTTCAGAACTGTCACAGGTGTCAGACCATCAGTGACCCTAAACCACCATAATTTACCAGCATGTTCTGGTGCTCACACTTTCTTTTTCCTTAACTCTGAAATTACTTGGATGATTTTTTAGATACTGACATGAAGTCTACATAGTGTTTCTAACTTGTCAAAACATATTCACAAATGAAAATGAAAACGTGATGTAGCAGAAACTGTGGGATTCAATAAAAGCAGAGGGAAGTTTATAACGAAAAATGCCTACATTATAAAACAAACACACACCATTCAGATCTCAAATAAATAACTTAATGATGTACCTCATGTTTTTTAAAAGTACAAACCAAACTTCAAATCATTAGACAGAAAGAAAGAATAAAAACCAGGGCAGACATTAGTTAACACAACGAAAAGAACAATATAAAGGAGCAAGGAAATAAAAATTGACCCGAAAGGAAGATAGACAAAGCCCAAACTAACTAAAGAAAGAGGAAGACCCAAAGTAATAAAATGAGAGGTTAAAAAGAGACATGACAACATCTACCAATGAAATTCAAAAGAGCATCACTTTGAAAACCTATATTCCAGAAAATTGGAAAAATCCTAAAGAAATGAATACATGTTTAGATATATATGACTTATAAAAATTTAACCAAGAGAATATAAACAACAGATCTACAGATAAGAAACTTATTTATAAGCAAGAAATCAAAACAGTAATAAAATGTCTCCCAACTGAAACCCAGACCCGGAGGATTAGCTGCTGAACTTCTCATGCAGTGCTAAGGAAGTAGCCTCAGTGTTCTTCAAATTATTGCATATAATTGAGAGAAGGAACACTACTAAACTTGTTTCATGAAGTCAGTACCCTGATACCCAAACTGATCGGGATACAACAAAAAAGAAAATTCCAACTAGTAATGAGCATGGGTCTAACAATTCTCAACAAAACACTAAATTCAACAGCATATTAAAGAGATCATTCATCATGACCAAGTTAGCGTCATTCCATGCAAGCTTTGTTAAACATATGCAAATCAGTAAGTTTAATAACAACATTTAAATAGACTCAAGAATAGAAATCACATGATTCTCTCAATAGATGAAGAAAGGGCCTTTGACAAGTCCAAGATCTTTTGATGAAGAAGAAATAAAGAAAACTCTAGAGAAGGAATGTATTTCAGCACAGCAAAGGCTACCCATGACAGACACAGCCAACATTATACTAAATGAGGAAACCTCAAAGTATTTCCTCTAAAACTGGGAATGAGATAAGGGTGTCTGCTCTTTCCACTCTTATTCAGTGTATTCTATGAAGTCTCAAAGTCCATGATACACTTGAAAGAAAATGTCTTTACGAAGCTCATCACCATACGCACCAACATGCACATCGCTCATTTTCTCCTTTCAAAACACCTGTGACTAGTACCTATAACCACACTCTTCACCCCTCAGCCTGCTCCTCTGGTCCACATTCCATCTGCTGGATGCCATCAGGGCATGTCTTCTGGGCTAGGCTGAGGCTCAAGTCCAGAGTCATTCTTGACTCTCTCCTTCACGTGAGCACCACTGCATCACCAGATTCGGATGGTCTACATCAAAACAGTTGCTTCCCTCTGCCCCCATCTCCCAGCTCAGGCTCCCTTGCTCTCCCATTTCGATGACTGTAGCACCTTAGCTTCTCCAGAACATGCTCCATCCCTCAGATCTCTCTGTTGAGAACCTCACAGATTCACACGACCACAGCCTGACTCCAAAGGCTTGTGCACCATACCTTTCTCCTCTGTCACATGCCGAAGTGACTTCTCAAGCTCAGGAAATTTCAGCAACAAGATGCAATCTGGAAACATGTCATCCACTACAACTTGATCCAAGGGCTGATACTTTCCCTGAAAGGAACATCTGAGTCAGTCAGGTGGCAAACAGTCCAGTCAATAAGATTTTACACAAAAAGAAGAGGGGAAAAAAATGGACCATTTCACAGAAAATCTTTACATTAGCATCTGAGCTCCTCATTCCACTGAGGGGCCTCTAAACTGGGATAGGTTCAAGGGCCATCCCTGAGTTCCTCTTGTGAGGAGGGCCTTCCAAACATCAAGCTAGCTCCCTCAAGGGTACAGTCACTGTGTGAAACAGAAAATCCCAGGAAAACACAGAGACAGGACTGAAAAGATCACGGAGACTGTCTGAAGGTGGTCCAGTTATTCCATATGAAAAAGAGCCAGCTGAGGTCACAAGGCAGAAGTCCCCATTGTCACACAGGCCTAGAACAAGCCCAGACAGACCAGACCCAGAATATATCATCTGCTTCCCTGTCTTCACTCCAGGGCTGAAGAAAAAACCAAAACAAATCAAAAAGACCCTACTCCAAAAAGAAAAATTCTCAAAGTGAATCCATTCCTCCGGGAGCCATCAGCTGAGCCTTCCAAATTAGACGGGAATAAAGAAAAAGGCAACCATGACGTAAGAACAGAGCTGCAGGCAGGTTAAGACACGTCTAGACAGACAAGTTGACACAGCTGTCAGGGGTAAGCCATGTAGACGTTCTCAGATGGACTTTCTCCTAATTCTCCTAATGGCAGGGAGAAAGCGTATCTGATGAAGACATTCTCTTGATTTGGGAGCTAGGCTTAGGAAGGATGCTCTGTCTGTCCAGGTCCCACCTCCGTCTCTCTGTTCCTGTGACCAAACTTCTAAAGACAGACGTGTGACTGATCGATTTTCTCTGGCTTTCAAGGTGAATCCTCTTGTTTCTTTCACAGTACACACGATAACTTGTTACATTTTTTTCATTAGGCTAAAAGAGGGTGAAAAATGTCTGAAATGTTCTGCCGTCTAACCGAGGCTCCCCAGTGTTACAGTCTTTAGGTTTCTACTTTAAAGGCTTGCCTTCCAGGATCAACCAGGAATTTTACACTTAGCTGCTTTAAATAGTACTGACATGTATGGTACCACAGTCATGATATTTCCTTTGCCACATGTACATAAAGAAGTAAAATAAAAATCTGTTTTAAATATGGTTAATAAGAGTTGGTGTTAAAGGTTGTGATTTAACAGGAACAGGCCAAATTTGAAAATGGGGACAATATTTTAATAACTAAATTAGATACGACCCCATCTAAAATGAAGGGAAGAAATACTAGACACCCATGTGTTTACACTTCCAGGACTTAAGAAGAAAAAACACAGTGGCTCTGTGTGCACCATTCTGCTTCCCTCTGCATCTGTCACCTTGAATTTACCACACAAGGCCTTAGAGGCCCCCGGAAGGCCAGGCTGAGGAGCACTAAACCCGGGTCTTGCTCTTAACAGGAGATGGGCAGGCAGGGCTCTGCCCTGAAGCTGTGAGTGCCAAGTGCCTTTCTCCCTGTTAATTTACCCTAGAAAACACCACACTTGTGAACCAACTAAAGTTTTCAACTTCATCCCCGAATCCTCCTACAGCTTCCTGGCAATAACCAGAACCATCTCTATCGTTTAGAGGCATGAGTCTCAACAGCCGTGCACCCCAATATATGGCTCTCATGGCAGCTTTCAGATAAGAGCGAAGTGAGTCAGCTGAGGGGCAGGGCTCCACTAACACACTGTAAAAGGAGAGAAGAAGGTGTACCAAGAGAAAGTAGGAAGAAAAGCTTTGGGTGAGTTTTATGATTTTCAGTATTTACAACTTAAAATCGATCAATCTACAAAATAAAGTTTTGAGAATTTGATTTAAAGACCACATAAAATGAACCACAAGCTTTACTCTATATGCAAATGTAAGAGTCCAAGAAATATAGATAGGCTTAAGCAGTTCAAGCAACTCATTAAAAAAAGTGAGCTCAAAGATTTAAGCTGATGGATGGACCCCTGAGTGTTCCTAATTCCCCTTTAGGATGTTCCCAGCTCAAATCTATAGTCATGATAAGAGGCCAACTGCACTTGCATCAGGTTGGCATGGCACTGGTAACTGAAATGATAGTGGACAAAACTTGGGTTCTTCTCCAGAGTTAAGGCAGAGACACCAAAGCACCCCCCCCCCCATACACTGTATTCTTGCAGTTTTTAAATTGCCAGTTTCACTTAAGATATCCTTGCTCGCCGGGCGGTGGTGTCGCACGCCTTTGATCCCAGCACTCGGGAGGCAGAGGCAGGTGGATCTCTGTGAGTTCGAGGCCAGCCTGGTTCTACAGAGTGAGTTGCAGGACAGGCACCAAAACTACAGAGAAACCCTGTCTCAAAAAAACAAAAAAACAAAAACCAAACAAACAAAAGGTATCCTTGCTCAGTGGGGCTAGAGAGAAGGCTCAGAGGGCCAGAACATTTGCTGATCTTGCAGAGGAGCCCTATGTGGCAGCTCACAGTTGCCTGTAGCTCCAGTTCCCAGAGTTGTGATGCTCTCTTCTGGCCTCCATGAGTGCCAGGCACACACACTGTACATATGTGTAGTCACTCATACATACACATAAAAGAAATCTAAAACAAATGACAACAAAAGCAGAAAGCCAATAAAACAAACAAAAAGATAACATCGTTGCTCAAGTAGTACAAGCAAAGACTTTTACTTAACCCTCCATCCAAATGCAGTCCTCACCGCTCTGAATGAGGGAAGTGCGCTTAAGCAGTCACCGCTGTTGTACCTGAGGTACAGACATCATCATGGAAAGCCCCAAGAGGTGGAGTGCTGAGAGAAATTAGTGCTTTTGCTCTGGATGCTCGAGTCCCAAGCATACCTAGCTTCCCCATGAGTGTTTACTAGGCACACTCCAGGTTATCTATTTCTCAGACACTCACATAAGAAGGTAAATCTCCTGACCAAATTCTTAACATTCACATCTAAGCACTTAGTGGTAAGAGGTTTTCATTGCTATGCGTGGCTACCACTGAGGTACAAAGAGTGGCAAGCTAGGCCACTGAGGTCACAGTGCCCTAGTAGCAAATCTGATCACCATTAAGGTGCTGCTTCTCCGGGGAGGGCAGGGTGCTCTGACCCACACTGGTACTCATGGGGCACATATTTAATGACTGAAGCGCACTGTGAAAAGGAGAAGGGGTATCTCCCGCCCCTCCCTGCAGTCGCCCCAAGTGGGAAGCTCACCTCTTTGCCAGCCTTTATGAGGTAGTGAAGGAGTAGAAACAGAGGGTCCATGGGTGTTGCAAAGTGGAGAAGGCCCCCTGCAGGTGAAAAGGAACAGAGAGGTGTATGCCTCATGAGGACCACTTGGTTATTCCATCTCTCAGGGTGAGCTGCATGTGAAACTCCATATTCATTCTTGCACATGCCTATGACATCTGCCCACCAGGCAGCTTGTGCGACAGCTTGTGCTTCCCATCAGGCAAACTCAGGAGTCGACAAACACCTTGGTTTAAATGTTCCCATTTCCTAGAGATAGATTTTACTCCACACAGCTTCAAATCCCCAAAGAAGAGAGCTTCCCTCCATTTCCCAGTCTCCACCTGATGTCTGCAGCTATCAGCCAATACCAGCTGAGAGTGTGCCACAGCAGAAGCTGGAGCTCTGACGTGCTGCCTAGGGATTGGGCACAGCTACAGCAATGGTAGGGGACCGTGTACTTTCCACCTCCCTACAACACTTAATTTTAAAAAATGTATTTTTATCCCATAGAGGCCCCAGAGGGCATCAGCTCTCCTGGAGGGGGTGGGACCTTGGAGTCTTTTACTCTTGCTCTCTCTTTCTCTCTTTGGTTGTTGGCCAGGAAGTGAGTGTTTTGGCCACATGGTGCCACCACGATGTGCTACCTCAAGACCAACCAGCCCAAGGGACTGTAGACCAACACCTCCCAACTGTGAGGCACAGCACATCTTCTCTTCTAATAGGTGGGCAATCTAGGTATGTGTCTTTATTCTATGACAGTGACAGGAAAGCGGGCTAAAAGAGGGCACAGTAAGTTACACGAGAAACCACTTCTGAAAAAAGCTGTTACATTCTAGCATGTTTTAGAAACTGTATCAGCTTGCTCAAGGAAATAAAATGTTCAAAATTCCTCTAAAGGAAATGTTTCCAATCAACTCAACCTGCACTCCAAGGTACAGGCCATCTAACTCCTGCCAGAGGATGTGTTGGCATTTTAGGAAATAAAGCAGAATTGTCAGTTTAACATGTGACAACATGACTTAGCTTCACTTGATCCAAACCCTTTCTGATATACAGAATAGCTTCTTACTTACACACTCCAAGCCAGGAGGATGAACCCACATACCCACAGGAGCTGTGGAGTATGTTTAGTTACTGATAGGAAAAAAATTACATTATATATCTATATCTATCTGTCACTTACCTGATTGAACTGATTGATTTATAAACCAAGAACGGTGCTTTTCCTTGAAGACTTTGACTTCAAACAGCTGCTGCAGACACATATCGAATAAGTAAAAGTTTCCTTCCCCTGTAACACAGATGTGCTTAGTATTCATCACTTTCCTCATGCACATATGTACATCAGAAGTCTGTCCAGAGTTCCAAGGAATGTTCCTAAGAGGAGCCTACACATCTGGAGTCATGCTCTACACTCGTGAACTCCAAGGAAGGCTTATGGGTATTAGGCATAGACATTCACTTTCCAGCTCCATAATCCTCACTAAACGTAAACCATGAAAATGAAAGGCACAAGCCATTTACCTTGACTGTTACACCGCCTCCTAACTACCAAATCCTAATGGTTCTGACAGATGGGTGAGCTAGTGCCTGGGTCTGTCCCTACGCCAGCATGTAGCTCCCTGTACACGGGAACCAAGACAAGGACCAAGCCCTCAGATGCCACCGGCCTTTGTACTGAGAAAGGGAAGGACACTTCAAGCCTTAGTCAAATGGATGGAATTTTCTGTTTTATTCTTTTAAAGCGGGCGGGAGGGGGAGGGGGCAGGACGGACAGAGGCTCAGCTCTGTCACCGGTAAAGCACTTGTCTAGCATGTGCCAGGTCCAGGGTTCAATCCTCAGCAAATCAGATGTGTGGGGACAGGAGGGGTGAAGCCTGTGCATACCTGAGGTTTTACCCCTAACTCAGGTCAGAGTCAGTTCTCAGCACCATGAGTCTATGTGGTGGGAGAAACGGGGATAGAAGGGATGCATATCTGATGTTTTACCGCTCCACTCATCAAATCTTTTTCTAACCACAGAGCGGTCTCTGAAATCGCTGGAATCACATGCTGAGTGTGATACAAGAGAAGTTACCTAACCCTTATTATGGCTCTACTTGCTAATCCGGGCAGGGCAATACTGAACCCGACTCAGAGGGTGTTTGTGAGAGCCGAACAAAAGAAAACACCCGTACATTTCCTAGAACACTACCTAGGACACCGGAAGGGCTTAGAGCACTCCTTCTTTTCCCTTCGCCAAATAAAGTAGCAGTGAAAATAAAGCACCCACGCCTTGTCTGTGCACGGTTTCTCTTGCTAAGTGCTTTAGAAGGGGACAGCCTCCTAAAGCTTCTGAATTCCTCATCTCAGCTCTGGCTGTTCAGTGTGGCTCGACAGGAAAATTCAGTGGCACTTTGAGGAAAGACACTAGGGAGGAAGGGCGGGTGTTTGTTTTTTGTTCTCTTTTACTCTGTCATTGTTGGAGTTACACATCTCTTCAACAAAACACCACCCATGTGCTCTCCCTCATTCACTCTGCGGTGACACCGTCACCAGGAGAGCCCTGACATACAGGCATCATGTGTTTACAGATCCTTACAAATCAATAGAATCTGCTGTCACCTCATGGCTGAGTGTATTTTAATACTTTTACCCCAAAATTCAAACACAAAACAAAATGTGCTGGATATAAAATTAAAATAAACCTCTCTCTCAATAAAACATAAAGCTCTCCAATATACAATAATTTTAATAAAAGAAAAACCATCGTCTAACGGGGCGGGGGGGGGGGGGGGGGGGGGGGGAGAGGTAGCCTTTTTGGTCAGTGTGAAAGAAAGGAACAGCTAAAAAACGAAACCAACCAAAATCATGACATGTCAAAGACGGCCTTCTGCGTTTTCACTCTGGTTGTTTATTTTACTGTACAACACAAAGTGAATATAAATGCAGGCTAGTGTTGTGTAAGAACGCTAAGGAAAGTTGGCATAAGAAAGCCAAAGAAAATCAATCCATTTCCAGAGAACTCAAACATGCCAACATTTCTAAAGACTCAACATTCTGTAGATGAAAAGTATAAAAAAAAAAAATCTTCTTTGCAGTGTTTAGTATGATTTATCTTGGAAAATTAATCGGCTTCATTTTCCACCACAGGATGCTGTGAACTTTTAAGTTAACTCAAAATGACACCTAGGCAAGCAAGTGCTCCACACACTCAGCACAATGCTAGAAACATTGCAGGATGAGAGGACCTGAGAAAGCAAGACCTACCTGAGCGCGGGTTGACCAGTTTTACAAACAGGAGGCCATTCTTCATCTTCTTTGAGGCATCTTTTAAATATTCTGAAAAGAAATAGTGAATCTGAGAAATTTAAAGAGTGTCTCTCAACTGTGCCTTCACTTTCTCTCATTTTTCTACTTAGGCAATTTTTCTTTCTAAAATGTTTATCATTTTTTAGCTGTGCGATTCTCGGAAAACAGCTGTTTTCCAGGGGAGCTACAGCGGAATCTGAGGTAGGTTTAGTTTAGCTCTAGGGGAAGGAAGTGATGAGGGCAGACTCTAGGGTCAGATGTTGTAAGCATCCTTACCCTGGCTAACGGTCTTCTCTCTAATCTCAATCTCCTTTTAGAAAATGTTGATGAGAGTATATTTTTTAAAAAACTTAAACTAAGTAGTTGAAGGCACTTAGCATAATCAAACAGAAATACAAAATAAAGCACAGCTATTATCAGGAAGGCCATTTTTAAAATAAACATTTACTAGACCCTAGTTTTCATTTCTGACACCATTAGTCAATCATATCCCTTCCTCATTTTCTCAGTGGGGGCTTCCTCTTAAAAAAAAAAACTATTTTATGAGTGGGCTTTATACAATAAAGACAGTCACTGTATTTTAGCTCTATTTGTTTCTAATTATCTTTTTGTCATATTAAAGATATAAATCTTGGTAATCTTATTTTTCATTATGCTTGTAACTTTTGTGTCATACTTTACAAAGCCTTCTTCCTCAAAAGTATGTGTATTCCTATATTTTCTGTGGATACGTTGTATTTAGCTAATTCAGAATATACCCTGGGTATAAAATATTGGAAAGAAATCCAACTTTAATTTTTTTTAATTGGTTGGACATCTGTATCAGAGCCCACGGAGTGAGCCCACCATGAAAATCTTTACACTACATATTTAAATCCATTTGTGGTCTGCATGTAGACATTCTACTTTGATCCACTAATCTGTGTCTGTCTTAGTGTCAGCACTTCAAGACTTCATTATGATGGACTGACTTTAATCTGTAGAAAGCAGGTTTCTGCAGTGCTTCTTCTACAGCATCTGACTGTCCAAGTTTGGATTACATAGATTGAAACATGCAGACAAGATGACACCTTCAATAGACTAAGCGGCACAGTCAAAACTCACAGACACCAAAGGAACCAGGGGCTCTAGGCAGTTAAGGGCACAGCCTGTCTACACAAGAGCACCCCAGGAAGGCAGTCAGGAGCACAGACCATCTACACAAGAGCACCTCAGGAAGGCAGTCAGGAGCACAGACCATCTACACAAGAGCACCCCAGGAAGGCAGTCAGGAGCACAGACCATCTACACAAGAGCACCCCAGGAAGGCAGTCAGGAGCACAGACCATCTACATAAGAGCACCCCAGGAAGGCATTCAGGGACACAGTCCATCTACACAAGAGCACACCAGGAGGGTGGTCAAGGGGTACAGCCCGTCTACACAAGAGCACCTCAGGAAGGCAGTCAGGGGCACAGCCCATCTACACAAGAGCACCCTAGGAGGGTGGTCAAGGGCACAGCCCGTATACACAAGAGCACCCCAGGAAGCTGGTCAAGGGCACAGCCCGTCTACACAAGAGCACCCCAGGAAGCTGGTCAAGGGCACAGCCCATCTACACAAGAGCACCCCAGGAAGCTGGTCAAGGGCGCAGCCCATCTACACAAGAGCACCCCAGGAAGCTGGTCAAGGGCGCAGCCCGTCTACACAAGAGTACCCCAGGAAGGCAGTCAGGGGCACAGCCCGTCTACACAAGAGCATCCCAGGAGAGTGGTCAAGGGGTACAGCCCGTCTACACAAGAGCACCCCAGGAGGGTGGTCAAGGGGTGCAGCCCGTCTACACAAGAGCACCCCAGGAGGGTGGTCAAGGGGTACAGCCTGTCTACACAAGAGCACCCCAGGAAGGTGGTCAAGGGAACAGCCTGTCTATACAAGAGCACCCCAGGAGGGTGATCAAGGGGTACAGCCCGTCTACACAAGAGCACCCCAGAGGTCTTAATGAAGAACTGAGCTTCTCTCTTTGCTCTGCCCACTCCACCTCAGTTCCACATGCACACAGATACTGCAAACAGGGTGAGAAATCAGCTCTCCATAAGAAGAACACAACTTGTGCTTGTTCTAATCGTAATACAGACTCCATAAGCAAGAAAATCTCCTTTTAAGATTTCTACTTTCTATTAAGATAGAGTAATGGTAATTCAACAACATCAACCACCATGCAAAGTATGAGGCAGCTGCTGTTCTAAAGACACCGACACCAGCCATGCGGAACAGCGGGCTCATTGCCCTGGCTTATTTCCTTGAGAGGGTTTCCAGGGCCTGGTGCAGAGGAGCGAGGCAAAGCCTGGCCGAGTTAGGGCTGATGTGATAGAGGGGAGCTCCAAAGACTAGAGAGACGGAGACCACAGTGGAGAAGGCTGCTAAGAAACCGATCCCAGGTGTGTGCAGCCGGGCCTCTCCATGTGTTCAGAGAACACAACTCACACTCGGTTTTCCCACTGTTTATGACCCCAGGGCATTAGGTAGAACACTCCACAGGTACTGCCTCTGAAAGAGGCAACAACTACTCCTGACTGACACGCTGCTAAGATCTCATCACACTAATTAAAAAGCAACGGTAAAAACACTGTCTCAAAAAACAAAACAAACAACAACAACAACAACAAAGCAATGGCAAAAGGATCAGACTCTTCTTGCCAAGTAACATATTTTTGAAGTCCAAAAATACTTAAGAATATAGAAATACTCATCACTCCAAAAGGTAAACTGATGAGGGGTGGGAAAAAGGTCAACTCCTGCAACAGAGATTGGTATTGTACATGGAACGTTCAAACTAAAGGAAAAGGCACAGAAGCAAACCTCATGCATAAACATTAAAAGGACAGAAGACTTTTTTAATGATCTAAACTAAAATGCTAGAGAAGAAAAAAAAAAAGACAGACAGAGCTAATGGCAAAATATAAACGAACTTGAAGATTCTTTCGGTAACAGAAAACGCTCTAAAAGCATAGACATTTTTAAAAAAGAAATCTGATCTACGGGACAGTTTCAAACCTCCTACTGTGTGTGTGTGTGTGTGTGTGTGTGTGTGTGTGTGTGTGTGTGTGTGTGTGTGTGTGTGTGACGGAAGCTTTCAGAAGAGGAGCCAGGAGAAGACAAATCTATCTTAAAAAGCACATGTGAAATGTTTCCAGTCTGAGGAGAGCTATAAACTCACCCATCCAGGAGGCTCAGTGATCCCAAAGTACACAAAGAAGAAAAACAAACAAACAAACAACATAACCAAGAGTTCAAAACTAACCATAAACAGAACCATCTTAAAGTAACCCGGGGTGGGAGTGGTCCCAGTATGTACAGAGAAGCAAGGCTGTGGAAGACAGCTCAGGTGTGAAAACAACGCAAGTCCAAGGACAATCCAGAAACATCCATAAAGTAAAGCACCACAACCACAGAGAAGCTAACCACCTTTGGAAAGGGAGGGTGGGAAATAAAACGTCAGGCATACACAGCTGACAGAAATCATCGGTAACACATGTGCATCACAAGAAATGCTAAGGGAGAGAGCCTTCTGGCGAAGGATCATGAGGCCAGATGCAGAAATTCCAACTGGAGAACGTATGGCTGAAGAAGGAGAGTTGCTTGTATTGTTTTAACCTCTTTAAGGATCATTGGCTGCTTAAGTTAAAATAATTCAGGGTAGTGTTCATATCATATGTACACGGAAAATGTATGACTTAAGTACAGAAGAGAAGATGTGTAAGGACACTATCTTGTGAGGTTCTTGTGCCATATGTGACATGATAAACAGCACTTGGAGGTAGACTTGGTCAATTAAATACATGTACAAGAAACCCTATGGCAGTCACTAAAATTATGAAACCAAAAAAACTGTCACTCATAAGACAATAAATGAGATAAAAATGAATCATGAAAAATACTCACTTAACCAAAAAGAAGAGGGCAAAATAGACACAAAGAACACCCAGGATAAACAGGAAACATCAGGACAGCAGAGTCAACCCTAGTTACATCAATGATTACATCCACATGTCAAGGGTCTGAGCATCCCAATGATAAGCAGCAACTCAGACCGAACTGAAAAGCAAGAGGGAAATACATTGCTGCCCACAAGAACAACACATAGACATAAAGACACAAGCAGAGTGGAAGTAAAGAGAAGCAGATGCTAACAGACTTTACCAAGGAACTTTAAAAGGCCACTTTATAACTTTATAAGAAGGCATGACACCCCTAAATGCTTCCTCACGAAACAAGCTGCAGAGCACACAAAGCACACAGACAGGACCTTCTGGACACCTCACCCTGACAGCTCCTAACCTGTTCCCCAGCTCCACAAGTCTACTCTAAGAATGTTACATAAATAGAACGTGCAGATTCAACTGTCAGAACCCCATCAAGGCTCTTTCTGGAATGACACATGGAGACTGAAGTGTAAATTAGTTAAGTTTGATCCTGTTGGAACTTTCTAAAATACCAAAGCAAGTTGTTTCCCCACGCCTGTGTTTCTTGCCTAGCAAGTACTACTCATCTCCCTGTGTCTCAAGACACAGGACAGATGACAGCCTTCCTCACCCACCTTCCTCATACCTTATGACAATGGCAGACCGTTCAACGTGGACTTGAATTATTTTAACCACTTCCTTTTATCATGAGAAAACTGTATTGTTTGTCTTCCAGCTTTCCCATTCCACCAGAGCCCCAAATAACTAAGAATGTGAAACGCCAAGTCAAAAAGACGTTTCTAAAAACTCTCCAAAAGAAGCAGTGTTTTTATCTTTTCTACAAAGAGCAGTCAGTGGGGAGGTTCTCGGCATCCTAAAACGCTATGCTGTAAGGATGTCTGCAGTTACACAGCACAACCAAGAAAATAACCAGTGTGCCACGCTGAAAATGCCAATATTCTCCAAAACAGACAACGGCAGACAGAATGAAGATGTCCTGTAAGTGTGAGAAATCCTATTTCTTCACAAAACCACTTGCTGCTGCACTGAATCAACAAGAAACCAACTCAAAATGGATTAAAATGTTCTA